GCCTAGAACCGGCTCTTTTTCTCCTTCTATAAGTTTGCTCAATCTCGGGATCGTAAGGTACCAAGATCCTATTATGAGTTCTGCGCATACACTCTCAACAAACGCAATTAGTACCAAGGCTACAAGTGTAGCCAAAAAGAGACAATCTTTTTGAATTTTTTTTTTATGGTGAACTAGACTCAAGTAATCAATTAGCTATCAACAACACCGTTCCCCGGCAACGGCGCCATTTTGATGGGCGTTAGAACGGTCGTACATTCCACACTCAATCAAACACATTTATTGACAAACACCTTACAAACCAAGCATAATGACAAGTAAGAGTTCGGTCCACAAGGAACAGGATATGATTGCCAAAGATCTTTACACTTAAGCTAACTCGAAGTCAATTGGTGAATTGGGGTTCGTCAAGAAGACAAACAAACTATGGTTCTAAATCAATGAATTAAAGATACTAGGGAATGAGATCCACTCAACCAAGGCAAATAGGCAAACGGGGAGTAAAATAGACAAGATATAGCAAGGACTATATGTAAAATCAACCTCATGCAATTAGAAAACAACTCACACTACTAAACTTAGATTCCTCATTAGTTTAGCAATAGATGATACATAATCAAATTACAATAAGTAATGACGTACTCAATTTACACTTCCATGTCAAATTAGGCATATCATACTATCAAGCTCCTTAGTCAAGGGTAGCTAAACCTATCATGAGGAACTAACAAGCAATCTCATATAATCAATTTAATTGCAATACAAACATCAATGCTTCTCCCACATTTGCATAGTTAACCCAAAAGGTCGAGCTTCACCCAACCCCTAGCAAGAAAACTACTCACAACTCATGTTTATCAACATGCAATCAAGAATTAGGGTTCTAAATACTTCAATAATTGGGGAAAAGTGGTTAACAATTGAAATAACTATCATCCAATAACAAATTACCAAGAACTAAGAAGATTTAAATAACATGCAAATACCAAATAAAATCTGAAATTAAAAGGAAGAAGGTTGGAGAAATTACTAATTGAAGCTTCAAATGTTGAATACAAATTGCCAAACTTTGAGAATAATTCTTGAATTTCACTAATACAATGATTTGATTTGATGAAAACTAAGCTAAATTAATCCTAAGGAATGTTTCAAACTAAGAGAGGTTTCTGAAAACTAGGCTACTGTCCTCCTTCTCCTTCTCTTTTAAACGATCTCAAAAGGACCTTAAATAGTCCGTACAAAATTGGCTGAGATCGGGAAAAGGTCCGACCGAACTCTGGGTAGGTTCGGTCGGACTCAGGGTAGGTTCGGTCGAACCCTGTGTAGGTTCGGTCGAACCTCCCTGATCCTTGTTTGGTCGAAATTTTGAGGTTCGACCTCTCCTGCAAAATTGCTGAAAACTGGTTTGACACTGCCTTCACTGCACCCTGGAGGTTCGGTCAAACTTTTCAAAAGTTTGACCACACCAAGGTTCGACCGGACCTTTCAGAGGTTCGGCCACACCTCCTCTTGCACTTCCTTTTCTTGCTTCCTCTCCTTCCCTTTTGCTCCTCTTGCCTTTGTCCATGGCTTCCATACTTGGCCAAGGGGCCTCCCACCGTGCATAGGACCGTCACGGAACCTGCAGAAGATACCAAAGTTCACGAGAGCATGGGGATGATAAAATAATGCATAAAGATTATCAAAATAAGCATTACTTTTCATCAACACAAAAAGAAGCCATAAGAGGATAATGAGGTGGAAAAACCTAAGAAAAATAAGAGGAAAAAGACCTAAATACTACCCCTAAGAGTGACATAAATGTCACTCATCAAGCATCAACATTAATCTTTATCCCATCTGCAGGAGCCTGCCAACTACTCGGAGAGCTCTGAATGCTAGCACGAGCACACCCCACTGCCTCGTTGTATTTTTTATAATCACCAACTAGCTTCAAGTATCCCACAGCACCACTCATCACACACTTCCATGGATTGTTAAACACAACCGAGTTACGATATGACCAAGCAGCCCACGCAAGGGCACAAACTGACAGTAGCTCCTCCTTGTTCAGTTTAGAGTTCATCCAAAGAAAAAGCTCCTTAAACGAAGTCTTCGGTGCATCAAGCAAGATGTTATAATGAGGAGATGGTTCCCAAATCAGTCTGACATTTGGGCAATCGAAAATAGCATGACAAATTGTTTCTGGTGCTGCATTGCATAGCTCACAAACTCCATTATCTCTCACATGTCTTTCCCTGAGCCTCTCCAAGGTTGCAAGGGAACCAGAGCAAGCACGCCACAAGAATTGGCAGAGCTTAGGAGGTCCTTTAACACTCCACACCAACTTCCAGACAGCCTCATGATCAGCCCCGAACTGCAGCTCCCATCCTCTTACATGCCCCAACCTTCCCAACCAATACCCCGATTTGGTAGTGTAAACACCATTCTCAGTCGGCCACCAAAATCTGGTGTCCTCAGGCAGCCTGTTACTAAGAGGGATGCTACGGATATTATTTTTTATTTCTTCAAGTTTTTTTGTTCACAATTAAATGCCTTATATTCATTTATATTCATAATAATATTTTATATGTTCATAATGTATATATTCATAGTAAATATTTGTTGTTCATAAATATTCTCATTAAGTCTGTTTATGCATATGTTCTCTTTTTTAAATGCATATGTTCATATTTTTTTACGCATATGTTCACCTTTTAAATGGTTATATTCACTTTAAGAAAAACCAATGCTTACGTTTATATTTTGAATTGTAATGTTACTTTCTGAAATGCATATGTTCATATGTTTTATGCCTATGTTCACCTTCTGAAAAGCTAATGTTCACATCTAAGGGAACCTATGCATATGTTCATATTTTGCATGATTATGTTCATTGATAAAAAAAAATGCTAGAAAATCGGATGAAATTCATACGCAAATGAAATTGATCAAAGCTAAAAGAAATTCAATTCATATGAATTCAAAAAATCAGATAAACAACCAGTTCCATATTGTAAGGAACAAATTCAATCGTTAAATTGAAAAAACGAGAAAGATAGAAAAAAAATAGAGGAAAAAGGAATTAAAGAAGGAAGGAGAAAAAACCGAGTATAATTTGTGAATTCAAAGATTCATATAAACTTTAATCAATCGAAATTAAAGCACAAAAAATTCATACTTAATAACTACTTTCATGTTATAAGAAACAAATTTAATCAAAAAAGTGTAAAAAAGGGGGTAAAATTAAAAAACAGAGGAGAGAGAAAATAAAAAATGAAGGAGAGAAATAGAGGAGAAGAAAGCTAATATTCATATTTGTGCTATTGTTACACCTATTTCTAGGTGCATGAGTGTGCACCTAAGAATATACGTATTAGGTCACTCTCCCATTAAGCCATTACCCTACTTAAATATGGAGCGCTAGCTTAGGCCCCGTTCTTTATCGGTAAATTGAGCTAAAGTGAACTGAAACGTTCTGCATTGAACCCTTAATGACTCGTTTGAATGATGCTAGCATGTTGCATCTCATCTTGTATGTCGATTAACCAATTGGGCAATAAATATATACTACCTATATTCTTTTATGTTTTCTCACTATTCATTGAGTGAAACTACAAAAAAAAATGTTCGCCTGTTGCTAATCATGTAATAAAAAATTAAATGTGTGATCTTATTAGAATTGTTTCATTTATAGTTGGTTAAACATATGCATTGGGAACCGCACAAAATGTAATTTTATGTCATTATACTCACTAGGCTTGTAAGTCTTAAACTCTTAACTTCAATTAGTATTGTGAATAAACTTAGCAAGAGTGATGATAAAGTTAATATGAGTATGTAAGATTATATATTTTAAGAATTCAAGACGGGTAATTTAATGCTTCTCACAATATTAATGGTTAAAATAAATTGACATAGGTAGTACGGAGTACTAGTTACTTAAACCCTATATAAGAGGCTCATGTTTCATCTACACTTTAAATTTAAAGAGTTTCTCATATGAGAGGATGTGGTAAAATATATATATTCCCTTCACGGCTTCACCTCATAATACAAAGTATGTTTTTTTTTTTGGAAAATTTGCCATTTGCAGCCATTTTTTTTAAAAATTGCAAACTGCAGCCCAAAATTTCTTATAAATTGTAAGTTACAGTCCGATTTAACTTTTTCATCGGTTTACGTGTCGAAAAATATTTGGTTAAGATTTTAAGGGTCATTTTAGGCCATGAAGTTCCAAATTGAGCTCGAAAATAGAAAAAAAAATTACGTAAGTGTCTCGTTTTGCGTAACAAAAAATATATCGATTTGTGGGCAACTATTTTTTGCTATGAACTTTTGGGCTGTAATTTGCATTTTTTTTTAAATGGCTGCAAAGCCTGCAATTTATAAATGTGTTTGGTGAATGGCTTTTTCAGCCAGCTGAAAAGCTGGCTTTTAAGCCAAAATGAAAAAGCTAATGGCTGCAATTTTTTCCTTTTGGGGTAAACCAAAATACAATGTCTGTTTCTATTTAAAGCTAAGGTTGTATTTATCATATTTTTTTTGGTACTTTTAACATCAATTTTCAACACTTTCATTCTTTCTCTTTGTTAGATTTTTCTTTTAATTACACAGATTAGGTTACATTTGTTTACAATCTTTACATGGATGACGAATATATAGAAACGTTAGGCATGTGAATAAGCATATTAAATAAATCTACTTAGACTGCACTATGAGCTTGTTAGGTAAATGACTTATCAAACATGTTTTAAAATTAATAAAAAGTCAAACAACCAACAAAAAAACTAATACAAACGGCCAATCAAACCAGTCTATCAAATCAACCAACAACCAACTATGAAACAAGGCATACATCGTTATTAAACCCAAAAAATCAACTGATTTTCAGGGGCTAATAAATTCAACTTAATCAACTATGATGTACTTGTACTTTTTAAGAATCTTTTGGAATTACTTCTACTCTAGGTAAATCACGCTCATATAGTCATTGTACTTGGACAGTTGGATGTTGGTAACTTATATGTAATGTGAGTTGTTAACTTGTTACTACACTTGTTAGATCAAAAAAGGAATAAAAAAGACTAGGGAAGACAGAGGGGAACCTAGAGGAGGCTCATGAGCTGCAGCAGAAAAGTCATGGGCCTTTAGTAAGTGCCAAGGAGTATGCAAGTTCATCCATATAAACCTTAGTGAAAGCCGAAGGGGAGAAGAACTGGTAAGCAACATCATCATCAGGCTGAAGTCTTCCAATTTGAGCAAGGCCATGAGCAAGCTTATTGGATTGGCGTTTGACATGAAGAATTGTGACACTCCACTCTCGTTGTAGTAATTTCACGATATCGTTGATGAAGTTGGACAGCTCGTGGTCAATGTAGTACAGCGGGTTCTCAAGCATATACTTTAAGGCTTGTGCATCCGTCTCGAGTTCAAGAAATCTTATTCCTCTAGCCCAAGATGTAGACAGGCCTTCCTTTATGGCAAATAATTCAGCAGAAGCAGGCCCTAAGGCAGAGATCTTAACAGAGAAACCAATTTGCCATTTGCCTTGTTGGCAGCGAATTAAACCACCTGCTCCAGCAGCACCCAAACTGATCCAAGAAGCATCCGTATTGAGTTTGTAGTATCCTCTTTGGGGAGGAGACCAAACTCTAGGAGAACTCTTTGAAGAGGAAGCAATCATGGGATTTGAAACCTGAGAGATGGAAAGAGTAATACGATAATCTGATTGAAACTTATTAAAAGAGGTTAGAGTGGAATCCATTACTTGTTCGAAAACCATTTTATTTCTTATAGACCAAAGATGCCAAAGAGTAATGCAAAACATGATTTTCCAAGATTTATCCATACCAAAATTAAAAGAAATCCATCCTTCAAAGTCAGTGTTAAAAAATTGGTCATAATTGAAATCAGTTTTTGCATAATTATCAAAAATAAGGGCCCAAAAAACCGATGAGTTGGGGCAATCTCTAAAGAGATGGATGAAGTCCTCGTTGGGAGAATTACATCTAGTACACTTTGGGTCAAAGTTGGGGATCTTAGAAGCTAGGATGGAACCTGTGGGGAGGATTTGCCTTATGATATTCCAAAGTAGCATTTTATACTTGAATGGTACTTTAATCTTCCACATGGAAGACCAAGAGAAAGAAGCAAGGAAAGAGTTAGGGAAGGAGGGAGGAGGTAAGGCAGAGAAGTAGGCAGATTTTATGGTAAAGGAGCCATTTTTGTGAAGGGACCATCTGAGTTTATCTTTAGGGGAGTGGAGAGTGGGGAGAGGGGTAGCTTTGATGATAGAGAGAATATCCTCAGGGAGAAGGTGGGCAATAGGAGAAAGGAACCATTTCTTATCCCGAATAATATTAGAAACTCTCCAGTGTCCTTTGTTATCGGGAATGCGAATATTATCATTAAGATAGAAGGGGGCATCACCTATCCATTTGTGGAACCAAAGAGAGGTATCATCACCATTTCCTATAGTGATAGTTAAACCTTTTTTTAAGATTTCTCTTCCTTGAAGAATGTCTTTCCAAATTGTGGAATTATTGGGTTTAGGAGTACAATCTAAAAAGTTAGTATATTTAAGGTATCTTTTTGTGAGAATTTTAACCCATAGTTTATCGGGTTGGGTGAGAATTTTCCATCCAAGTTTAGCCATAAAACAAATATTCCAAATTTTAAGGTTCCTAATTCCAAGACCCCCACCATTGATAGGGTCACACACAACTGACCAAGTAGTCCTAGGAATATACCTAGCTTTGTCCACTCGGTTCCAAAGAAACTTTTTAATGTTTTTTTGAAGTTGGTTAGTAAGGGCAATAGGTAAGACATTAGTTTGCATAACATACATGGGAAAAGAGTTGAGGACTGGTTTTATCAGGGTGGTGCGACCTGCCATATTTAGAAGCTTGCTTTGCCAACCCCTAATTCTAGAATTAGTTGTATCAAGAAGGTCATAATAATCACCAATCTTAAGTTTGTTAGGGCTAATCATTATACCAAGGTACTTACCAAAAGAGAAGGAACTTTTAATGTTGCAGTAATCAAAAATACCTTTTCTAATATTATAGTCCATTTTTTTTGGAAAAATAATGGAAGATTTATGAATATTAATGGATAAACCAGAAATTTTATTGAAATTATCAAGAACTTTCATCATAACAGAAATGTTGTCAAGATTAGCTTTGCCAAAAAGGAAAACATCATCGACATCGAAAAGGTGGGAAAGTTCTATATCCTTAGCTATTTTCATGGGTTTCCAATTTTTGCTATTAACCGAGTCTTGAATCATACAAGAGAGACGATCAAGACAAAGAACAAAGATATAGGGAGAGAGGGGGCAACCTTGTCTAATACCTCTGGAAGGTTTGAAGGCATTAGTAATTTGACCATTCCAAAGGACAGAGATGGAGGGGTGCAAATACAGCTTAAAATGAGAGTAATCAGATTTTTAGGGAGATTAATAGCCCTAAGAGTGTCTTCAATGAAGCTTCATTCAATGCTATCGAAAGCTTTGGCTAGGTCAATTTTAAGGGCCATGATGTTAGCTTTCTTAGAAAACTTATTAAAAAAGTGGGCTACTTCCTTAATAATGATTATATTTTCGTCGATGGACCTATTAGGGATAAAGCTAGATTGAAAGGGGCTAATGAGAGAGTTTGAAAAGGTTTCAACCGAGAGGCAATACATTTAGTAATGAGATTGTAAATAGTGTTACAAAGGCCCACAGGCCGGAAATCCGTCATATTAGAAGGATTATCCTTTTTAGGAATGAGACATAGGTAGGAGTCATTGATATTACTATTAATACAACCATTATTAAAACAAGTAGTGACAAAATCACAAATACTAGGTCCAATTTCCTCCCAATTTTTTTGGAAGAAAATGGCTTGGATGCCATCGGGACTAGGGGAGTTAATAGGGTTCATATCCATGAGATTTAAGTGGATTTCCTTAGGTAGGGGAGGAGAACCTAAATCTGCAGCCAAGGTATCTTCAATAACTTTAGAGTAGGCAAATTTAGCTAAAAGAGAATGATCAGGGGAGGGGATGGAGGAAGTAAAAATATTCTGAAAATAGCTACTGGCCATATTTTTAAAACATCTTGATCATAAATCCAATCCTCACTACTGTTAGTATGGTCTTGAAGACAAAGAATACGACCCCTAGATTTTTTTATTTTGGCAGAAATATGAAAAAATTTAGTGTTACAGTCCGCATGTTTCCGCCAATCTATACCGGCTTTTTTGGCCCAAGAAATGCGTTCAGAGTTATAAATCAAGTTTAACTGATGAATTAAATCTTTTTCAAGATGAAACAAAAAATATGAAAAGCGATTAGATAAGCTACGTTGAATACCATCAATCCTTTTGATTAGGTTTTGTTTTATTATAGTGATGTTACCAAAAACATTATAATTCCATATTTTAATAGAATTAAGAAAGCGCTTCTCCCTTTAATAAAATCATTATTATTATTGGACCAATTATTAGCAAAGTAGGGTTTAAAAGAATTGTGTTCCAACCATGCAATTTTGCAACGAAAAGGGTAGTTACCAGGCAAATTACGATTAAACAAAGTAACGAGAATTGGATTGTGATCAGAAAAAGTTCTAGGGAGATGAATTACCTGAGTGTTTGGAAAGTTATTGAGCCAACTCGGGTTTGCCATAGCTCGATCAAGCCTCTCCCTTATTATAGCAGCACCTTCACGAGCGTTGTGCCAAGTATACGGGTTACCATTGAAACCAAGGTCAACAAGGCACGCTGCATCTGCCAGCATGTTGAGGTCCTGACATTGGGACATTCTGAAATTTCGACCCCCCATTTTTTCAGTAGGGGAGGTGACTTCATTAAGGTCACCAAGTACCAACCAAGGAGTGTCATCTGGAGGTAGGTCATTTTTCAGATTGTTCCACTTTCTATGCCTCTCAGAAGGATTAGAGGGGGCATGGATACCAGTAAGTAATACTTCAGTATTATTGGGCTTAAATTTGAACAGGGCATGGAAGAAATTGATAGATTTAGGGTTATAGAGAATTAGCTCAACCCCAGCATTAAACATGAGCCAAATTAAGGGCATCGTTAGTAGTGAGCAAGTGCTCATGCATAGAAGTTACAATAGAATCAATAGTATCAATCATCATGCAATTATCAAGACTAGAGCTTGGATATTTCATGCTCTCATTCAAATCAAATTCTATCACCTCATCTCCTACCTTTAGTGAAATTTTAGCACTTTGAACATCTATTAAAGCACCCGAAGTAGCAAGAAAAGGTCTTCCTAGAATTATTGGAATGTTAACATCTTCATCCATCTCTAACACAACAAAATCCACCGGGATTACAAACTTCCCCACCCTTAGAGGAACATCCTCTACCTTACCCTTTGGGAATTTAATAGAGCGATCGGCCAATTGTAGGGTGATGTTGGTGGGTAGAAGTTCCCCTATCCCAAGTCTTTGGTATACCGAGTATGGCATTAGGCTAACACTAGCCCCTAGGTCACACAAAACATTATCAATTTGCATCTTGTATATTGCACATGGGATAGAAAAGTTACCGGGATCTTTTAACTTTGGTGGCATCTTATTCATGATAATAGCACTACAATTCTCGGTGAGATTCACCGTTTCCACCACATCACACTTTTTCCTTCCACTCAAAATATATTTTAAAAACCTAGCATAGTTAGGCATTTGCTTGATAGCATCGGTAAAAGGGATTGAAAGGTGAATTTGCTTCAGTGTTTCAAAGAATTTTCTGAATTGCACATCTAATTTGTGTCTCACAAATTTATGGGGATATGGAAGTCTTTGCAATTGTTTGGTTTCTTTTTCACTCTCTTTTTCTCTTCTCTCTTTCTCAAATTCTTTTTCTTTCTCACATTCTTTCTCCTTTTCATTCTCATGGTTTTGCTCTCTCTCTTGTTCAAAATCACTTTTAAAGGGAGGCTCACTCATGTTCACTTTCTCATTGTTTTCCTTAGGGACACTCTCTTCCAACACTTTCCCACTCCTAGTTGATATAGCATTCACCAGTTTCTTGGGGTCAAGTCCTTGGGGTGGAAGTTTAGAAGTGCTAGCTCCCTCTTTTAAAGCATTGGCCAATTGAGAAATTTGTGTTTCAAGCATTTTGTTATGGGTCATTACTTCACTAAATTTCTTTTCACTTGAGGCCATGAAAGAATTGAACATTTTAGTTTGATTTTCCATCATTTCCTCCAAGCTAGACCTACTATGTGGTGCTTGTGCATAGTGGTTGTCTTGGGAAGCCCTATTACCTCTAGCATTCGAATTGGACGTATTTTGATTAGAAGAAACTCTATTATTATTGTTGTTCCAATTATTCCGATTATTAGAGTTTCCCCCTTGGTGAAATTGCCCTTGATTCCCATAGTTTCCTTGATTATTATGATTATGGTTACCATAACCACCTTGTTGGTTGTAGTTACCTTGGGGATTTTGGTCCCTTTGGTTCCTACTTCCCCATTGATTTTGATTATGGTAATCGTAATCATTTCCTCTTTGGTTATAGGAATTCTCCCCTTGTTCTCTTCTATTTGGTGGTAAGTATCTTTGATTGTCATTCCTATGTCTATTATCATAAGACAAGGCATTGACTTGTTCATTTTCATTTTCATTACCATCTTCGTATTGGGGTTGGGGTTGGAAATCATAATTACAAGAAGAGGTATCATGGTCATAAGACCCACAATTTTCACAAAACAAACATCCATGAGGCATGTTATTAGAAGTAGAGGGAGAAGAGTTAGAATTCATACCTCTCCCCTTAGATTGGGAGGGATGCTCTTGTGTTGAACTAGAGGTCTCTAGTTTTGCCTTAATGGACGTCATCTCCTTTCCAAGGTTGGCGATTTGGGAGGTCAAATTGTTGATGGCATTAAGGTGATCAACGGAGTAAACCGCATTTCCTCCCTTGTTTAGAGAATCTCTCTCTCCTTCTTGCCAATCCATGTGGTGCCTCACCACATCCTCAATTATCTCTATGACTTGCTCCTCCGTCTTGTTCATAATCGGGCCACCCGCTCCTGCATCCAAGCTAGTCTTTCCTTGTGGGCTCAAGCCCCCATAGAAAATTTGAAGCACTTGATATGACGCAATTCCATGATGAGGGCACTCCCTTTGATATTCCTTGTATCGTTCCCATGCTTCATAAATGGTTTCACTAGATTTTTGACGGAAACCTTGGATCAAAGCTCTTGCCTCGGCCGTCTTCTTTTGGGAATAGAATCTTCCTAAGAAAGCCGTGGTGACCTCGTCCCAAGTTCTCAAGGAGTTAGGCCTCACCTTCTTCTCAAGCCATTCAAGAGCTCTTCCTATCAAAGAAAAAGGAAACAACTTTAGTCTCACAAACTCTTGAGTTACCCCATTTACCTTGATCGTGTTACAATATTTTTCGAACTCGTTCAAGTGTGCAAGAGGGCTCTCATGTTTTGCTCCACTATATTGCCTCCTTTCAATCAAATTAATCATTGCGGGCCGAATCTCGAAGTCATTGGCTTGAGTAACGGGTGGAGCAATGCCGCTTGAAGCTCTATAAGCTCCCGGAGTTCCCAACTCCTTTAAAGGTCTTTGAGGTGGTGGTTCCGCGTCACCCATTTGATCTCGATCCTCCTCAAAATTGGTCTCTCTAGCTGGGGGAGTAGTAAACGGCCTAGAACCGGCTCTTTTTCTCCTTCTATAAGTTTGCTCAATCTCGGGATCGTAAGGTACCAAGATCCTATTATGAGTTCTGCGCATACACTCTCAACAAACGCAATTAGTACCAAGGCTACAAGTGTAGCCAAAAAGAGACAATCTTTTTGAATTTTTTTTTTATGGTGAACTAGACTCAAGTAATCAATTAGCTATCAACAACACCGTTCCCCGGCAACGGCGCCATTTTGATGGGAGTTAGAACGGTCGTACATTCCACACTCAATCAAACACATTTATTGACAAACACCTTACAAACCAAGCATAATGACAAGTAAGAGTTCGGTCCACAAGGAACAGGATATGATTGCCAAAGATCTTTACACTTAAGCTAACTCGAAGTCAATTGGTGAATTGGGGTTCGTCAAGAAGACAAACAAACTATGGTTCTAAATCAATGAATTAAAGATACTAGGGAATGAGATCCACTCAACCAAGGCAAATAGGCAAACGGGGAGTAAAATAGACAAGATATAGCAAGGACTATATGTAAAATCAACCTCATGCAATTAGAAAACAACTCACACTACTAAACTTAGATTCCTCATTAGTTTAGCAATAGATGATACATAATCAAATTACAATAAGTAATGACGTACTCAATTTACACTTCCATGTCAAATTAGGCATATCATACTATCAAGCTCCTTAGTCAAGGGTAGCTAAACCTATCATGAGGAACTAACAAGCAATCTCATATAATCAATTTAATTGCAATACAAACATCAATGCTTCTCCCACATTTGCATAGTTAACCCAAAAGGTCGAGCTTCACCCAACCCCTAGCAAGAAAACTACTCACAACTCATGTTTATCAACATGCAATCAAGAATTAGGGTTCTAAATACTTCAATAATTGGGGAAAAGTGGTTAACAATTGAAATAACTATCATCCAATAACAAATTACCAAGAACTAAGAAGATTTAAATAACATGCAAATACCAAATAAAATCTGAAATTAAAAGGAAGAAGGTTGGAGAAATTACTAATTGAAGCTTCAAATGTTGAATACAAATTGCCAAACTTTGAGAATAATTCTTGAATTTCACTAATACAATGATTTGATTTGATGAAAACTAAGCTAAATTAATCCTAAGGAATGTTTCAAACTAAGAGAGGTTTCTGAAAACTAGGCTACTGTCCTCCTTCTCCTTCTCTTTTAAACGATCTCAAAAGGACCTTAAATAGTCCGTACAAAATTGGCTGAGATCGGGAAAAGGTCCGACCGAACTCTGGGTAGGTTCGGTCGGACTCAGGGTAGGTTCGGTCGAACCCTGTGTAGGTTCGGTCGAACCTCCCTGATCCTTGTTTGGTCGAAATTTTGAGGTTCGACCTCTCCTGCAAAATTGCTGAAAACTGGTTTGACACTGCCTTCACTGCACCCTGGAGGTTCGGTCAAACTTTTCAAAAGTTTGACCACACCAAGGTTCGACCGGACCTTTCAGAGGTTCGGCCACACCTCCTCTTGCACTTCCTTTTCTTGCTTCCTCTCCTTCCCTTTTGCTCCTCTTGCCTTTGTCCATGGCTTCCATACTTGGCCAAGGGGCCTCCCACCGTGCATAGGACCGTCACGGAACCTGCAGAAGATACCAAAGTTCACGAGAGCATGGGGATGATAAAATAATGCATAAAGATTATCAAAATAAGCATTACTTTTCATCAACACAAAAAGAAGCCATAAGAGGATAATGAGGTGGAAAAACCTAAGAAAAATAAGAGGAAAAAGACCTAAATACTACCCCTAAGAGTGACATAAATGTCACTCATCAAGCATCAACATTAATCTTTATCCCATCTGCAGGAGCCTGCCAACTACTCGGAGAGCTCTGAATGCTAGCACGAGCACACCCCACTGCCTCGTTGTATTTTTTATAATCACCAACTAGCTTCAAGTATCCCACAGCACCACTCATCACACACTTCCATGGATTGTTAAACACAACCGAGTTACGATATGACCAAGCAGCCCACGCAAGGGCACAAACTGACAGTAGCTCCTCCTTGTTCAGTTTAGAGTTCATCCAAAGAAAAAGCTCCTTAAACGAAGTCTTCGGTGCATCAAGCAAGATGTTATAATGAGGAGATGGTTCCCAAATCAGTCTGACATTTGGGCAATCGAAAATAGCATGACAAATTGTTTCTGGTGCTGCATTGCATAGCTCACAAACTCCATTATCTCTCACATGTCTTTCCCTGAGCCTCTCCAAGGTTGCAAGGGAACCAGAGCAAGCACGCCACAAGAATTGGCAGAGCTTAGGAGGTCCTTTAACACTCCACACCAACTTCCAGACAGCCTCATGATCAGCCCCGAACTGCAGCTCCCATCCTCTT